TTAGTACTGGGCGAGTGCTCTGTGAACTTGTGTGCCTAGCTGATCCGTAAGCCGCCCATGTTCAAGGATTACAAAATTGATTATGCTTGTGTGCGTCATACAATTATACGTGTATATGTCAGGATTGGTGTATGGTGAGGCAGGTGTAAATGGCCATAAAGAGGAGCGGTCGGAATGTAGAGACTAATTATTTATTGATCCAGCGGTGAGGTAAATATTACTTTGGCTTTGGGGGAAAATTTTAGGGCTGTGTACAAAAGCGTAAATACATACATGCTAGGATCTATGTGTATTGTTGGAAATTAATTTAAGGCGCGCTATGTTGTGGCTTTTGGCTGCTGTAGATAAATGTGTGCCAAAATGCGATTATAGTTATGTGCTTTATGAATCATTGTGCGTGAAATCAATTAGATTAGTATTAAATGCAGCAGCTTCGTATTAATTCAAAAAGATGCGGTTCCTGGAATACCTCCAAGAAAGTTTTAACATAAATTTGGCTATAATTAATTTAGCAGCAGAGAATATAGATAAATAAGTTCTTCAATCGAAGTAAAAATCAATCGAGAAATGTATGTAAGTTTGAATGCATAACGGGGTGTTCTACGTACCAAATAATGATGTCCACATGAATTAAAAATTATTAAAAAAAATTTAGCAGCCGCTACCAGTGTTTGGAAAATTTAAATTAAAAAAAAAAGAAAATAAATGCACGGCAAAACGCTGTGACCAGCTATAACTTTGCGTTTTGAAAATTATCCAACAAATTTATAAACTTTATGGTATATAGTTGGTAAAAGAAAAAATGTGGTCGGAGTTTTGCGATTTTTAAACACAATTTAAATTTTTTCAAACCTGGCTAGCGACCACCAAAAATTTGTTAAAAATTGTTATATTTTAGCGAATGGATTAAAAGGAGTGCTTCTAGATTTTCATATTTTAAGTGACCACCCTAATGTATACTATGTACATATGTTAGTACTAGGGTGTTCGATTATGCACCTTTTCCCAAAACCGGGTTTCGAATTACTCGAAAAATTCAAATTTGAAAAAAACCGGTTCCCATTTTGAAATTTAGAAAAATCCGGTTAAACCGGATTACATAGTTTTCATACAGAGATAGTGTTTATGTTAGTATGAAGTCATGACCAAAAATTACAATAAAAACATTAAAGATGGAGTTTATGTAGCAAAGAGCAAAATATAATAAATTCAAAGTTTTTTTTTAAGATCAAAAGTACAACAAATGAAAATCAGTGGAAAACTCACGTTTGCCCTTGCTTTAACTATTTTTTTAATACTTAAGTGCATTTTTTCGGACTTATCGGATTTTTGCCGTGCATTTTCCGCCATAGCCGAGCGCTTAGATGTATCTAATGCTACTCGGGAGGTCCATGGTTCAATTTCTGTTCCCAGCAACATTAAAAAAAAAATTCTTCAAATTGTGGTCGCCCCTCGGCAGACAATGGCAAACCTACGAGTGTACTTCTGCCATAAAAAAGCTTCTGCGGAGTTGGAGTAAAAGTGTAGATCTCTCCAGTTATGTCACAACATCAAAAAGCAGAACACGAGTTGGAGGAGAAGCTCGACCAAAAATTGAGAAGCTCGGCCAAACATTTAATTAGTGGAATCAAATATGATATACTGTTCATCCCAAAATAACTCAGGATATAATTTTAAAATTATTTAGAGGTATCCCTTAAACTGGAAAATGCTTTAAAAACTTCGAAAAACTCAAAATTTTTATTAAGAGGTCAAGATTTGAGTGAAATGACCGGTTTGTCCAATAACAAGCAGGAATATTCGAATATTCGAAAAAGCAGGATTTAAAAAAACAAACGCCTATAGATATCCAAACAAGTAATTTTTAAGCAAAAAACAAAACCGACTTCAATTCTCATATAAAAATTTCAGAGTCATGGTCCAAATTAATATGGGACCACCTTTTCTTTAAAAACAAAGAATTATAAAAATCGGTTAACGTGGTCCAAAGTTATGAGGTAACATACATAAAAAAAAATCCCGACAAATTGCTACCCTCCTCCTTTTTTTAAAGTCGGTTAAAAAGCAGGTGGAAAATAGTTTGAAAAAAACCGAGTCAATCACCCTAGTCAGTACTCAAATAATATAAAAGTAAGATGGCGCCACCACTAATTCATTTGATCTTAAACGCTGGCACTAAATTTTAAAACTTCTTAGCTTTCCATTCAGTTATTTATTTATAGCAACCAAAGGCAGCGTGAAACTGCGTGCTTGCAGTATTTGTTAAAATAGCTCTGCGAATTTTCCACCTCTACACTTCTAATTTCGTACACTTGACAAACATTTTCCGCAAAGGTGCTTCTTTTGTGCGCTGAGTTCATCTAATTTGCTTTGAGTTCTAAATACTAAAAACAGCCACTAGAGTCAAAACTAAATTTAATACTTCCAAAGTACGCCATCTTAAGTATTAAAGACGCTGTCTAATTTCAATTTCAAAAAATCAGTTACTAAAAGAGGAGACAAAATTTGTTGAAAAGCACAAAGTGCAGCGCTGAAGAGCCGAGTACCTTTTGCAGTTATAAGGACAGTGAGTGCAGGACAAATATAAAAGAAATGAAAATTTATTTGAAAAAGCAAGCTGCAAAAATGGAGGCAACTGAAAGGGCACAAAGGACAAGCATTACTGTACTGGCTTTCGTTTCGTAGATTATTTCATTTCGCCAGCGCATATCTACAGCATTGCCAAATATTAAGGAAAGAGAACGCAGCATCATAGTCGTATATATGTATGTATGTATGTATGTATGCATTTGGCAAACAAGGCGGTCTGTAAAGGGGAATGCAGTCGAATACGGTTTGCAAGGTAACAAGGCGCTCGAATGCGGCAGTTTATAGCTTTTTACGCAAAAGGCAACCAACAGTTATGCAGCTGCATACTCGTGGTCTAGCAAGATTTGTGGGCAACCGTAAAATTGCTTTTCTGAAGATTTGTGCATGATGCTTTGGGTTTCTTTTTGTTCGATCTTGGATTAGACTGCTGAATGCGCTGCACTCAAATCATTTGGAGATTAGAGACACATGACAGGCTGGATGTTATTGAAGCCATATTTTTGTTTAAGTCGGCGAGCGGTAGAGTTGCCAGCTATTAAAGAAATTCTTTTTGGAAAGTACGTAAATACTTATGTCTCAAAAAGTTAGTGGTTCTTCGAACTTGTGTTCAGCCATTGTTTACATGTGTACTTTAGGCATATATGTAGTACGAAATAAGAGGGGAGCAGAAAACGGGTTGATGTGCGATATCATTACTCGCCTGTAAACTTAAAAGAATACTTTACGAATAGGTCTGGTGAAGACTGGATGGCTGAGAAAATGCTCAGTTAGCATATATCGGCCCAGGCATTGTTTTTCGCATAATCCTATCAATGCTCTTAGCTCACTCCTTCTTTATCTGCCTTTCTGACTTTTTCAAGCAACACTTGCTTGCTTTGCAGGTGTCAGTGTTACATCAACGATTTTCATGAGCCATATTCATAAGAACCTTGATGCATCTGGAGGTCCCGTTTGGCTTGGCACTATAAATGGCTGCGGTCCACATGGACGCTCTTGAGAATCACAGCGCGACAATTTATCAGCCAGTTCATTGTCTTGACATAAAAAAGTCCCAATCAACAACATCAATCGACAACTTTTGTTCGTACAATTGTAGTGATTAAAATAATGGCAATCTTGCAGGAAATGTTTTTAATTAATTTAAAAACTTTTGACGATTGGCGAAATAACCAATTAATCAGATTCAAATTTTGTGCATATGGACTGGTAGGTATTGAAAATGTCCTTTTACAATTTCTTCCTTGAAATTTTACAATATTTGTTTTTGAAAAAATTCTATGTTAAGGACTTATATAAACTCGACAACATCTTCGAATTTCGTCCTTCTAACTTTATCAGCTTAAAAAATTACCTATTCGTCCTTGTGAATCCAAAAAATTAAAATTTTTTTTAATTCTAAAGAAATTTCCTTCCTTCTTTCCCTCCTTTTATTTGGTATACATATTTTTATTCTACAATGCACTGAATTTTTTAAATAAGTTTTGGAATTAATCATATCCCTGAAATTACAAAAGTCCTTTAAAATAAAAACGCCACTTTAAATAAAAAAAGTAGGTTTCAAGCCCATTTATTTATGCATTATTTATTTTATGGTAGGAGAGCTTCTCAAACAATCTAGAAGCAATTTTTTCGATTTAAGTCATTGAAAATTAATAAATATCTAAATCCCGGGACTTATTCCGGGATCCCGGGATTGTGATAACGACATCCCGAAAATCCCATGATCGTAAAAAGCCAATCAATTAACATCCCTGATACATACACATGTATGAGCTGAGCTGCAAATAATGTTGCTCATACGCCATGTATGCACGCGTTTGGTCATGAAAAAATTTAATAAGAAAACAATAACAATAATGCGAAAATGTTTAGTCGCAGCGAAGTAGGTACTTACCACTGCAATTATGTAGCAGCGAACGCTAATTGTCAATAGTTTTTAGTTATTTAAAAATATTTTCTGTCAAATTGATTTGAAATCCCAAAAAAATTTATTATTGAATTGAAAGGTGCAAATACTAAATAATATAAATTTGTTTGAAGAATCAAGTCATGAATAAAATCTATGCTTGATTTGATTGGTCGGATAAATAAAAGATAACATTTATTTGTGATTTGTTTCGTCGGGAACTAAACAAAAAATATTTGTGATTTCATTCATCGACCAAATAAAAAAAATAATTTTTATTTGTGGAGCAAATCAATTTGACTCGTGATTCGCCAACTAACAAAATTTATTTTTTTATGTAAGACAAGCATATTTTCGAATTTTTCCAATGTAAATCAAATCACATATAATTATTATTTTTATTTTTCGGACGAATCATATAAAAAAATAAATAGATTTCTTAATTGAAAGCGGACTCAAAATCAACCCAATTCTGTATAGATATTCTCCCCTCTCCTTCACTTACCAAATCGGCGATGTTCGCCACCTGTATGGCGTCGTGTATGACCTCGGCACGTGTACTGCCATTGCGCTTCTCGAACATCGCTTTGTCCACTATGATGGCTGTTTCGATGTATTTAGTCGCCTCGCGTACATCGCGCTTATATCGGCCCGCACCATTCGGATGAATTTCATCGATGACACCCGCTGAAAGGTGTTTCGTGCGCCGTGACAATCGCCACGAATCTAAATTACCCGAATTGGCGCATCCTTTATTGGCTTTAGTGCGTGCCTCAAATATCACATGCGGATGTTTCTGCTGAAACGAATTGGAAAGAAGGTATGAGAGGACAGCACAGTTGTGGAAAGAAAAATATTTAAAATGCTAAAAATGGGAGTTGAAGGGGGGATAGGAGGCAACTGGTTTTCGATGACAAACTATGAAAAACTCATAGATCTATGTACATATGTGTAAAACGTAAAATTTACAAAGAAGGAGAAAATAAATTAAAAACAAAATCAAACAGAGTTGAAAATGCTGAAAAAAAATTATAAAAAAATATTATCAAGATTTTTGCTAATACTTAATTAGCATTTGAACTAATTTCCAAAAATACTTCGGCTCTAAGATCCCCTGTCTCCAATACAAAATCTACAAAATACCGTCACCAAGTACGCTTTTCCAATAAAAATTCAAATTTAAATGTCAACGCAAAAAAATTTCAGTTTCCGCCAACTTTTACGATTTATTTCAGGCACATTTGCGCTACAAGCGATTGTGGTACGTGTCACTTAGAAGTCATGCCCAACAGCGCATTTGTTCCACGTGTGTATGTTGGAGTGTATCTACTTACATGAATACATATATATGTCGACAGCTTTGTTGAGGATCAAATGTTGGCAGAGTGATGCTTGCGGCGTCCGCGCCAAGTGTGAACTTTTGGTGTCAAATTTGGCAGCGAATGCGTCAGTGACTACTAAAGCGCGCTTATATTCATACACAATACAAGCATATGTATGTATGTATACACCCACATGAAAAGCTAACGCACATATGTATATACATGTTTGTATTAAAGTGCTGTTAGACGTGGCAATACAAGTGATTTTTCTACGTATTTTGCCAGAAAGTCCTTTCGCTGATTTGCAGCAAACACTTTCGGCAATAAATATTGCAAGGTGTAACCTGTAAAGTAGAATGATCAAAAGTAGTAACGGAAAGCTAAATTTTCGGAAATAAAAATTGCTTTCGAAAGCCACTTTGCGCATGCAAGGTGTAACTAACTGCTCCTGCTAACACTTTTGAAAATTCTTGAGTTTGACAAAACTTTTTAAAAAGACTTGCACTTGACACGCCTAACAGCTAACTTATAGTTACGCGAGAAAAACGACGCTTCAGTTCATTCGTTTTGTGGGAGTTTCGTCGCTTCCTCGTTGCTATGGGGTGTTGTACCAGCCAAATTAATCGCTGTTCGACAATGTTGCGGTCGCCACCTACGCCTTTTGGTGAAGCTTGATTTTTTCGTTTTTTGCTTGGCTGCTCTATTCTCTTCTATTTTTGTTGTTTTTGCTGTTAACACCAAATTCAATTTTAACTACTAACACTTAGGAATGTATGTATGCATGTATGCTCAAATATTGGCATTCTGTTTCTATGGATTCAATCACCACGCCCATCTTATGTTGCTTTCATAATGAGCAACAGTTCGTTGAGCAGCCAGTTGCTGCTGCTGCTGCTGCGGCAACAATTATTTTGGCATTGGCGAGAGGGTAAAGAGATGTGTACATTCAAGCGTATGTACCTACAAACATGCATATGTATACACTCATGGGCAAACAAATAGGGACGCAACCTTCTAAAAAGTTTTGGCTTTATTACTCTTGCTTCCTTAATATATTTTATTTTTATTTTTGAACGTATGACTCCTTCTTATCAAACAAAAACAATGTAAGTCAAAATTACAAACTTTGCGCTTATAAAAAGTCGAAGAATTTCAACAAATCTTTTCATGTATATGGTGATACATACAAATGCTATTTATACGACGCTGTAATGTGTTTTTTTTTTGCTTATTACTATTCATTATTACACAGACCAACAAAATTTCATCTGTAACATAAAATTCAGAGTTTTTCTGACGTGCATTAATATAGTAGTTAAATATATATTTATATATTCATGATTTCAATGATTTTAATTGTAAAAAGGTTGAACAGGTACTAAAAATGTGATTTTAATGAATTTTTTTGTATCCTAAACTGATGGTGTTAGAACGACGAGTTTCGCCGATGTGGCAGTGTACATATTAGTGCTTAAAAGATAATTATTCCGGAATAATTATTGGAAATTTTCAATAATTTTCATGAATAAAGTTTTAAAAAGACATTTTCAATACCTGTTCGTTCTTCTTTCCAAAAAAAAAATAGAGTTTTATTCAATTCCACAGAATTTTCTCTTTCGTTTGGTAGCCATATTCTTATTTTACATTACACTTAATTTTTTAAGTAATTTTTTTGTATTCCAAAGTACTTTAAAAAAGTGAAATAGAAAAACTAGAAACCGCAGTTTTACTATATTTGGTTCTTAGTTTTGCGAGTTTGTTGACTTTGTGTGTGTGTAAAATTGACTGCCTAAATGTTACGTTAAAGCGAAAAGTCCTTATAATTATCCTCGTATTGCCTTTCTGATTCCGATTGCTTTTTTTCGGAATAGGTAATCAAATTTTAGGAAAACTCAAAAAATCTCTAAAGGATGTCTCATTCCTAAATACATTTATTCTTCAAAAAAAATAGAAAACGGCCTGGTAAGACCCGTTTGCTTAACGGAGGGTTAAATTTTAGTACAAAAAAGTGCAAGTTTAAAGTTGCTAGGACCTACCGTCAAGTTTTCTAACTTTTTTTGCTCATGGTGTTGTGCCTTTTTCTCCATATAAGAAAATTGTCGAACATATGTATTTTGTATGGAAGTGAATGCGTGACACCGTCATAAGAAAATGCCAAAAATCAACGGTGCACTTTAATGGGCTACAAAACTTACTACCAATTTTTTTTGGGGAAAATTTTTATTAAAAAGTTTGGAATTTTTATGAAACTTTTTCGAACTTTCTTAATTTGAGTACAAAACTTTAAATTCGGACTTACATGGTTTTTGTAAGATAGTGAGCTTCATAAAAAATTAAAAAAATAATCTAAATTAAATAAACAAAGAAAAAATAACCAAAACTTGGTAAAATGTCGCGTCACTATTTGTTTGCTCGCCACTGTATTTGTGGAACATATACACATTTATGCGCTCACTTTCATATGTGATTGTGATACATATCCCTGCAGTGAAAAGCCAAACCAGTAAGTAAAAATACCAGTTCATTCACTGGTCTACAAGCACGGCTGCCAACTTGGCTCAAACCGCGCCATTTTTGGCCCTAATTTACTTCAAATGGCACTTACTTTTTCAATAGCACTTTTGAAAAATTTTAATATTTCAATAAGTTTTTATAAAATCCTTGTTTCGAACTTCTTTGGCATTGGACTTTTGTTTTAGGAATGTGCTTCTAATTTGTATGCTAAATGGGAAGAATTACAAAGAATGACACCTTTTTGGACACTTTTATTTTTCTATTTGGCACTTTTTTATCCTCAATATGGCACTTCATAGCTGAGCATAGTTGGCAGCCCTGCCTACAAGTTCGACAATTTCGAAGAACTTAAGCGTTCAGCAACATCTGCCTGTATCTGAATTGCCAAAGCCACAAATAAAACGCAATTAATTCCTTTTCTTAGTAAGGTCGGTTGTGGCGTCACGTGAAGGCTACCGGTTCTGGCTCAGGGGTCGCAGTTTCGAGTCCGCTTGGAGGTGGTTCAGATTTTTCAAATTAATTATTAAATTATTTCAATCTAAATATAAGTAACAAACTTAAAAACCTATATACATTCCAGAAAAATCATACATTTCCATATGTATAATACTTGTGCCATTACCAAAAAAAAAACAAATATTGTAAATTAATGGCGATTTCGTTTCTACAAAAAATTTTGCCTCCTCATTTCCCTCTTTTTAGTGTTTGTGCATAGAGGGCAAAGAGAAGGTTGCATTTTTTTTTGGTAGAAACGAAATCGGCATAACTATAAAAATTACAATAAAAACCCTGATTAGAAAGTGAATAAAAAAGAAAATAAAAAATATCCCCTGCGCCAGGAATCGAACCTTGGACCTCAGGAATACCACGTCAGGGCTGAAACGCAAACTGTTAAAATTCTAGTTCACAACTATTAGCTTTCCCTGCAGGGTAAATACATAAATAGTTCATCTACACAAACACATACTCAAATATTAATAGATACAACATCCACTGGCGCTCGCTTTTGCATGGCTGCCAACTTTAACATTTTAATTAAATTTTAATTAATTTTGATGGCGCAAATGCCATTCGATGTTTACTCACTCAACCGTACATATGTACATACTACATGTATGTATGTATGTAGATAGAGAGATTTTCAATCGCTTGGCATTTACTTTTTTGTCTTGCTGCTATATTCAATATTGGTGGTTGCTTGACAACGTCAGACTGTTTTCTCACAATGGTTGATGAATTTTCAATATTTTATGCGTAACCTTACATCCATACATACATAATACGTACATATTTATGCACATAAGTTATGAGCTTACCTTCAAGGTGTGAGCGAATCATAATGCCATGAATTAGCACAGCGGGTGAGGGCGAGAAAAGTTGAGTTTGTTGTTTGTGTACTTGCATACAAAAATATATACATATTTATTTATGTGTGAATATCGATAATATTGTTTTGATAAATATCCACAGTTATTAAGCTTGTTTTGCGTCTATGAATAAAATAAGGCTGCAGTCAGCTACAATATTTTCAATTTCAGTTCAATGAAATTTTCTGATTTTGCGGTGGTTGAGCAAAGAATTAATTAAGACACGGCTGACGAATTCAAATGTCTTGAAGCAAGGAGGTTCACTTAATAAAAAACCCAGTTCATTGTTTCATCTGTGGAGCATTTCTTCCATACTT